GACCCAAGAGCTATAGAACAGAAGGTGGGGACAGCCAGAGGCATCTCACGTATCTTCTGCACCACCCCCATCTGATGAAGAAACTTAAGCTCAGGGAGGCTGAGCCTCTTGTCCCCAAGCTAGTTGATCTCCTGGACACATCACAATGTTCATTGTCCAGTGACTGGCATCTGGATTCATTTTTGTTTCTTTCTTTCTTTTATTGTGCTTGGTTTGGTTTGGTTTGGTTTGGTTTTTCATTATCAACCTCTATTCCAACACAGCATTTGTTGTTTCACAGGAACTTCATTGGTGTCTCAGTGCACCCTGGTCCCACAGGGCACCTGGCAACTTGACAAATATTCCACCCCCTGGGGTGTCATCACCACCATCATCATCAGCATACTGAAGACATCACTGCCCAATTCAGATAAACCTGCTGGAAGTCAAAAGTGAACTGATGCTGGAAAAGGAGGGCTGGGGACCCCCACCAGGAAGACTTTCTTCTGGTAGGGACATCAGACCCCGGGGAGGGGCGATAGAGGAGCCACTGCCCCCTTCCCACCATCCAAGAGTCCCAACTCTTTGACTTTCTCCATTTATTATTCTTTTCTGTTTGCAGCCTTCTGGTTGCTTGATCCTCCATCCTCTCTCTTTATTCAGGCCCCCAGGGTCTTCTTTGTCCATGATACATGGTTTCCCCTTTCCCCTCACTCTCTCGTTCCCCCTGCGCCCTTCTTCCAGGCTCTAGGCTGCTTCCTTCTCTTTCACCATCTGCCACCTGCGTGATTCGCTGCCGGGTTGCCATCAGACCGGTAAATGACACATTCCTTCACACCTAAGTCCATAAGTTTTACTTGTCCCCTTTTCCCCTTTTAAAAGATACCTCTGCGTCTTCATCACTCACATGCCTCTGCTCCCTGCACTGCTCTGGATCGTGGGACTGGACGGGAGTCGGACCCTACAGCAGAATCTCATAGATCTGAGTGAGCTCCTCCAACCTCCTCTCCAGATCCAGGGCCCGCTGCCTTAGCCGTACAGCAGACTCTGACTTTGCCCCCGAAATCAGGTTCGCTGACTCATTCATCAGGAAACCCATGTTTAGGAGAAGGGAGAAACCTGTAGCGGCCATACCAATGGCCCGGGCTCCTGTGCTCATTGCCAGAGCTGTGCCTTTAAGAACTTCCTGCACCTGCCTGCTGCTTTGGACTGAGAGTTGCCCAGTGGTCAGGAAGCGCTGCACATCTGCTGCTAAGCCAGGGTTGGCTCTGAGCAGCTCGATGGCCCAGATATACTTTTCAATCTGTTGCACTTCTCTGAGTATCTCTGCTGCAGAAACAATTTGGGGCCGGCTCTGCAGTAAAACCTCCTTAACCGCTTTCCATCTGTTGATGGCAGGTGAGATTAGGTCATTGGCTTCAGTTTCTGCTGACGACGTGACAACACGTTCCACAACACTCGTGGTCACACCGGTCACGGCAGCTGCAGCCCCCAGCCCTAACCCAGTTGCCGAGAGTGCCAGACTGACCCCCGCTGTCACAGGTGCCAGAGCCAGGCCAGCGATGGCCAGGATGCCAGACGCAACACCAGCCAAGGTGCCTGACACCTGGGTGATGGTGCAGTCCCTGTGAACCTTGTCCACCTTGTCTGCAAGTGCACAGAGCTTTCCTATGCATTCCTCAAGCTCCCGTTTCACCTGAGGAAACTTCTTTAAAAATCTCTTCCTATTCAGCTTCTCCTTTAGCAGGCTGTATTTGTCCTTGAGGGCCAAGAGTGTCTTCAGGTCATCCAGGTATTCGCGTAGTGCAGCTGACTCTCCCCTGTAACCGTGAAGGTCAAGGGATTAAGAAAGGAACTTTGGAGTTCTCCATAAAATAGGCTCAACAAGATTCATCCTGCATAAATAACAGACATTTTACTATAAACCAAAGAGAAAAGACTTTTACAAATGTAAGTTTTTTTGATCAACATTATGCACTTGTTTTATATATTGTAGTGGCTCCACGCCATTTGTTCAAACACAAAATATAAAAATAAAAGCCATCTTAGGATACTCTTAGGAGGTAGATATTTGGTAAGACACATTCTGACTCAGAGGCAGGTCAACACCATCACCTCCAATGTGCTTGTTAGAGTGCGACCTCGGCAGATAAACACAGAGAAGTGGGACTGGAGCCA